CAGCCTTACTCCATCAAAGGCAAGATACGGGGGGGTTGGGACCCACCAGAAATGAAAATGCACTGGTGAGAGCCCCAGCCTTTGACAATAGACAGACCTCATCTCGGTGCTTAGGACCAGTACAACCTTGAGGGGGAAAAATTACTAAAACCTCACTCTCCTCACCTGAAAAATGGGGCCCATACTCTGAATTCTGTAGAGTTGAAGAGATGAGTTGAGATCATTTACCTAAAGCGTGAACTCCAGCACGCAGCCATGATTCACATTTACCTTGGAGCCCTGTTCAAAGACTTGGACAAAACCTGTCTGCCCCAGGGTGTCAACTCTTGTTAGGCCCCCCACTGCCCTGGTTACGGTCATTGCTACTCACCCAGGTGAACCCCAAGCAGTTGATGGCATCGGCCAGCATGTCTCCCAGCAGGGACGGCCAAGAGGTGAGGGCTGGGAAGTAGGCGTGCATGTGGGGACTCTGCCAGTGTACCACCTGGGGGCAAAGCAGGCACAGTCAGCACTGGGAGGGGTTCCTGCTCCAGAGACCCTCCCCCAGCAAGTGGCACAACTCTATAAAAATCACACACACACTCATTGGTATTCTCGCCACCCACGTTTCTGATATTCTAAGCTACTTCATCATCAGTAACTGGCACCTACGCAAAGACCTGAAGGGAAAGTGCAAACTGAACGTTGCCGAAATCTTCCGGACCGTGGGACTCTCAGCAGCATTCGCATTGTCTCTGATGCTAGCCCCCCACGCCGCCCACACCCAGGCACAAGAGGAAGAGGAGATTAGGGACCTCAAGCACAGGTTGCTCCTCTCAGCCAATTTCTTGAAGAACAAGAAAAAGAAAACCATCCTTTACTTTCTTGTTTGTTTGTTTGTTTGTTTGTTTGTTTGTTTGTTTGTTTTAAGCACTGAGTTCTTCAGCACCCAGGTCCTGGGAAGGGTCAGGGTGAATGGGCTCAAATCTCCCTTAGTTTCCCATTGGTGACCCAGAAAGGAAAGAAGTGGGCTACCCTCCTGGATACCCCTGAGCCCACATTAAAAAACTAGATGCAATAGAATATTGCAGGGTGGTCGTTAGTGACCTTAAACAGCCTCTAAGTCGTCGTAACCCCATGCACGACCAATGGAAATGCTGCCCGGTTCTCCACCAGCCCTGGGATCAGCTGCAGATCAGACCGCTGTGACCCATAGAGTTTCCAATAGTAGATTTCCAGACGGACATTGCTAGACCATTCTTCCTAGTCGGTCTGAGTCTGGAAGCTCTCCTGACAGACAAGTGGCGGTGGCATGGGAGGTACATTGACCGAGGATCCAGGCCAGGTTTCCTGCACAGAAAAGCCTACCAATTATTCAGCCACAAAAAGAAATGAAGTTTTTAAAAAGGGGTGCGCCTAGGAGGGAGTGGTTTACATGCTACAACATAAATGAGCCTCAAAAACATTATACTAAAGTGAAAAAAGTCAGACACAAAAGGCCACATGTTGTGTTGTCTGGAAATGGCATTCTGATGAAATGATAAATGCAAAGTGACAAAAAGCAGCTTGATAGTTACAAGGGCCACTTGGAAGGAAGGGAGGGAGGGAGGGGAGGA